ATCTCGTGATGTCATCTGTATGTGCTCTACCCAAAAGCAGTTACACTGTGAATGTTGGAATACACAGCATTTCAGCTTTCTCAAGAAGGTGGCAGTGGCTGTGTCACAGAGGCCAACGCAAAGACACAGAGGTGCTGGGGCAATGGTGTGTGCTGACCATATGGACTGATTCATTCCATTCATGTTTTTGATGATTTTTAAATGTAATTTTAAATACTTGATGTTGTATCAAATGTTTTGATAGTTCAGCTGTAATTCATTTGAATTTCCATTTAATTGAATGCATAATCATTAATTACTCAGCTAAATAAATCCATACCATATTGAAAAATGTGTTGTCCTTTCAACCTTGTTATCATATTCAACCCTGTCATGCTGAGTTCAACCCTGTTATTTAATAGGTTTGTATTAATATTTTAGTGATATGAACTTTGAAGTGTTGTATTGTGTTTACAGTGTACAAGATAATCAGACAAAATATGAAACCTAAACAAAATTCTAAGTTTAATGCATATTTTTGATAACATTTGAAGGCCGACAAAGTTCTAATGATCTCCTTGTGCAGTCAAATGGTGAGTATTTTAAAAGAAAAAATCGACTTAACATAGGTGATTCTAAACAAGGGACTTCTGATGATTAAGGTTCAACAAGAATGAACTTGAATATCTTTTTGAATCATATTCACACAGACTCCAAGTTGTCTGTGACAGGGTTGAACTCCAAATAACTTTTTGTAAGAAGGAAACTCAGTAATGATTGTGATTGTATGCCTGAGGTGGGAACATGTGTTTTCTCAAAGGTTTAAGTAGTCCTCTACCAGATGTTATGATCAAAAATGCAATATTTTAAGGTATTTCTTTCAAAAATGCGAAGACCCAAAAGGATTCAGAGAATCACCCACCTATAAACTACATTACATTTTCAAGTAGAGGTCATAATTTTTACGAGTGTTTTCAGGGAAATTACGCATTTTATCTTTGATTAAATACCCGTTGCATGTTGTCTTGCTTAGAAACAACAAATTGAAATTATCTTTTGCCATTTTTAGTAAGAAAAGTCTATACTGTCCAGCCATACATAACACAACTGCAATATCTTTACACTTTAGAAAATGATCCATCAAGAAAAACCTCAAATGATTAAGAAGCAATGTCGTGCTTTTGACAAGTCAATTCATGGACATTAAGATTTCTTTAGTGCAGTTTGGCAGCAAATCCAAACATTTGTAACCTCAGAATTTGTACTGCATGATTACATCCGGCCACCAGGGGGAGCCCCTGACATTCACAATATTATAATTACACCCTTTTGTCTCGTGCTGCTGCAACCATATGTATGGTTGCCAATTTTTGGGAACATTTTTCTAAAATATTTAAAAACAACTTTTCAAAGGGTAGTGTTTGGGTTTTATTTAATCGTTTTTTTGAAGACCTGTTTACATTACTCCACTCCAAATAAAAAGAAAAAAATATATTGTGCTGTTAATGCTTTCAGCTGTTTGTGGAGACACTGAGATCAACCCTAAAATACTTCACTTCGTCATCACAGCTCAATAACAACATTTACATTACAGTCACTATTTGTCTAGCAAACAGTCATGGAAGATTCATTCAAATCTATACTTAGAAACCACATCTGGATTAAACAATGTCACTTTCTCCAGACATGCCATGTTAACATAATATAATATATTCAAGTATCAACAGTGATAGTATTGAAACTTGTGAGAAAATGCCTTAAATGTACTCTTTAATGAGAAAACCTGGGGCTATTTTCCTCATGAAACACTGCTTATATATTATACACAAATGTTTTTTAACAGAATCAACATTTTTTGCTGTTAGAGATGACACACATACCACTTTGGTCTCTGTTTAGCTTAGCTCAGCTTAGCATAGACTGGAAAGAGTGGTAAACAGCCTGGCTCTGTTCGAATTTAGCTAAATCTGCCTACCAGCATTTCTGAAGCTCACAGAGTCAGACACTTAAAAAAGTCTAAATGGCATTTTGCTCCTTTGTATCCCAGCAACACCCCAACAGTGCAATGCTCATCTCAGTATGTTCCTTGCAGTTCTCATTGTGCCTCTTGAGCTGCAAATAATGTGGAAGAGATGAGTAATGGGGCAGCAATAGAACAAGCAGCTCCGGCGGGAACAAGAACAACAAATTGTTTATTTTAAATGAAATTTTGTTTACTCATGTCTGACTCAGAGGTGTTATGATTTTGAATTGATGTTCTTTCGGCTGTACTGTTACTCACAGCCACACATACACACATACAGCGATAATCTTATCACACTAACAAGACTGACCTTTGAAAGAGCAGCAATAACTCCATTATCGCCTGAGATCCCACGGTCTGACTTTTCTTTATATGAGAAAACCTCAGATCTGAGTCACTGTTTTACAAATATTTCGTCCATCTATCTACCACAAATGTACATATTTTGAAAGATGTAATTGTATGAACACAACGTCTTCTAAATGTATACAAATGTTATAAGATGTGTGTGGTCTGAGCAATGGACAAGAAATGTAGTTTTCTTGAAGCTACCTGGCCTGATTTGGCGTTGTTTCAGGTGTGATCCCAATGCAAATGGTCTATGGTTGCGTGTTTGAATTTGCTGTAAAGTTTCGAAAAATATATGGGTTTGAAGATTTAGTCTTGCTTATTGGAGTGTTGTTTTAAGCTTGTTGCTAACACAGACAATGCTAACATGCTGATGTTAAGGTGCCTCATAGGTGCAATAGGGAAAGTGCAATATTGATTTGTATATGAATACAATAGGAAAAGTGCAATATTTGATTATGTATGTGCAATAGGGAAAGTTCTGTACCTGTATGTTTCTTTGCCATGTGATATGTGATCTCTGTTCTGTATCTATGACTGATTGACCTGAATGTTTTATGTGTATTATCTCGATGCCCAAGACAAATTTCTCCTAAGGGAGACCATAAAGATCTATCTTATCTCTATTTTATCTTGTTATGCTAGATTACATTTTTCATTACACAAAGTGCAGCTGAGACTATTGGTAGGGAGTTTTGTTTTGCAGGTATTTATATTATATAACTTGACAAGTGGGTCAAATTAACATTTTGATCTGAATATAGGACTAGATATTTGTCGGGGTCAGCCAAGTTATTACAATTCATACTGATGTGGTGGATGTGTATCTAAACCTAATCATGTTGACGCTAGTCTGTCTTTAGTTGAATGGGTGGTGCTGTGAAGTCCTGAAACAGTGTTGTCCTGCTGATGCTCATTGTTTGAAGATATCTTGTTTAACAAAACATGTAAGTATCATGAAACTTTTATTTTATTTCCCGCAATAATCCAATCGAAAATTCCCATTGGATTTGTTGAGGGGACAAGTGTAATGCCTACTTCCTGGATAGTTTACACATACATAATCGCTGCATCACTTTTTTACGGTCACAGCAGCAGCAGTGATCGCCATCTTGGCAGATCAGAAAAACAGGTGATCTTTGTGAAATGCAGCAACAACACCAGGATGTATAAAACAACACACCAAAATAGAATGTCTAAGATGAAGTTGGTTATGAAATTGTTGCAAACTCAGGAACCCCAGCACACAAAGTGAAGATTCCTCTGATCAAACGTGACATGAGATGTATTGTCCACATGAGTGCGAACCTCAGCAGGGGACACATGAAAGACGCAGCCGCCTCACATCTTCAAAGAGCGGGAATCATTTGTTTATTCTTACATCTCTCTCTCTGCCGTGTCTTTACAGTTTTCCCTGGAGGGTGGAGGGAGGGTGACAGCCAGAGGTCAGCCTTCAGCTCACATTCTCTTGTACGATGTGAGGGTCTAAGGACAGAGGGTGTCGTATTGCCATACTGATATTCTGTACACACTGTGAGGGGGGGGGGAAATCATATAAGGCATGTTCAATCTTGTTTTTGAAAACTTGTGATTTAGTCTTGAAGTTTGAATGAAGAAAATATATGTTTTTTTGCAACATCATTTGTAATGTCTTGAAGAAATTATTATTTTGGTTGCTTGTTTAAGGATTTCATTTGAAAACTAGTTTAATTATTTAAAAGGTTTATCCTTGCAGTTAAAATGAGAGTCAAAAGTCCCCTGATGTTTTATTACTGTGATTTGCTTGGGGCCAACACATGCATCATCAAGTAAAGAAAAAAGTCAAAACAACACCTCAGGGTTTTTTGAGTGTGTGGCAAGACCCTGCTGCATGCTGGGTTGAGAGCTGATCTCAAGTATTAAGGTGATTTATAAATTGTTTAACTGAAAAGTCCTCTATGCCAATGATGATTTTATATTAAAAAACATTTGGACCGTAATCTTAGAAAACAATACATTTTAAAACATCTCTTTCAGCTCTCGGGATGTGATTCACACATTCTAATGTCTCACTATTTTCCAACATTGTATCAACAAAACAATCCATCAATTGAGAAAATAAGTGGCTGCTTTGTCAGTAATGGAAATAATCATAAATTGCAGCCCTGGTTTGATTTATACCTGAAGGCTTAAAGTAGTGCCCCATTCAACTTAAGTTAACCTCACACCCTGTCTGGTGTAATGTGGGACACTGTGTCTCACATAAAAGTAAGTAAAGTATCTTAAAACAACCCTCCTGTCCTTCAATCCTTTAACTTAAACCTTGTGATGTCGGTTTGATCTAGTCCTTCCAGATGAACTGAATTATCTAAAGGCATCCAGTCTGTCTTTGAATTACCACACAGACACCCAGGTGACCTACAGGTGTGATTTGTTACAGTGTGGTGGTGAAACCTGAGGTAATTCTTTAGGAATAACTTCACGATGAAAAGGGAACGGAGGCGTCCTTTGATCCTCAATGGAAGGAGTCTGTCAGATAGACCCTGACAGAGAACATCTTCATGCACTTTGAGAGAGAGGAGCTTTCAGAGAGACCTGTCAGTGACTCTGTGTCTTTATGTTTGATGTTTTTAAACCCATAAACCCTCATAGAGACTGTTAAAAGGCAGGAGACTGTACTGAACACGTTTATTAGAAGGACATTTTAAAAAACACAAACAGAAAAATGGTACTACATTGGCCTTGAATGTAAGATAAGAAACAAAAAGCAAGATTTCAAGGGGACGTTCAAAAGAGCTATAGCAAAATAAAGGTGTTTTCACTAAAAGTTTCTCTAAAAGTCAGTCTTGTAAAAAAGCAAATGAATCAACTAAGCATTTATACTTACACACAACAAGTAACAACTGTTAGAAAAATCTGATTTAAAAGTTATTTGTCTGAAGTTGAACCTTGATTGACTTCTTTTTATTATGCAATAGTTCATAGTGCAACAAATTCATCCATCCTTTCACCACTTGCGTCACCTCAAAGTCTGCACACAAATCACAAATGATCACTCAAAAGGAGTTAGTCGTATATAGTTTCAAACTTGCGTATGGCACAGTTGTCGTAGCTTCGTCAAGTGAGTTTATCCAAAGAGGCACCAGCTTGGTCGTCGTAATGGTTTGTGTTGGCCACACGAGCAGCTACGTTGTTCATCTGCTCTCGTTGGCCACATTTACACCTGAGTAGGTATCAACAACAAGAAATGTTTGTGAAATAAATTCAAATAAGACTCTTTCCACTCATCTACCTACAAAAACACAAACCACAGTTCTTTCTCCCCTTCTGTCCCTGAATGTGTCGGCATTGTACAGGAGCTGTTTCATCTCCACAGTGGCTTTTCACCACTGGTTCAGCACCAGGAGAACGACCTTCCTATCATTTCGAAGAACATCTTATTGGGCTTCCTGAAGTAGCGACAAAGCTTCTGAAAGGCCTGGGTGCTCAGCGGCGCATGCGGCCTGCCTTTGGACTCGTCCAGGCACTTGTCGTGTCCCGCAGACAGGAGGCAGTAGAAGCCCTTGGTGGTGTTGTAGTAGAAGTTGTCGGGGCTTATCCTGGGCGGCAGGTCCAGAAACCTCTCTGCCTTTCTCAGCTCGGGGAAGGGATCCTGAATGAGTGCGTCGCCGTCCACCACGTGGATCTGCTCCCTGGGGAAGACCTCCAGCCAGCGGGCCAGATGCTGGTGGTACAGGCTCCTCTGCAGCGCCTTGTAGGCAGGGTCGATGTGCCCCTTGTTGATCAGGAGCTCCTCCAGAGGCTGGTAGGGCTTGTGGCGGGTCAGGCGGTTGTGCAGGACCTGGGTGTAGTCGGAGATCAGCCTCTCAGCCGGGTCCCGGACGATGAGCAACAAGCGCACGGCGGGGTTCAAGGCCCAGACTCGTGCAGGAGCCTGAGGGGACGCAAAGTAGCCAGGGGTCTTCTCCACCGTCAGCTGACCAGGAAGAGTGAAGGGCATCTGGGCTTTGTACCATGCCAGGCCTCGGCGGAAGTGCTCCTCGATGTTGAAGTAGTGCACCTAACAGAGGGAAACAAGATGTGGTGTTGATAAAGAAAATTAAAATAAGCTACATGCATGACAACAAAGCATGACCATAAAATGCACCTGCAGTAGGGTTGCAAACTTCTCTTCTCAGAGTGTGTAGGGATGATACATCTCCAAGACACTGAGCTCTTTTATTTCTTCCCCATCTTGTCAAGAGCAATCTATTACTTTGAGCTAACTTTCCAACTTTGCAGTCTTCACCTCGAACTACCCTGATTAGGATTTCTCTGTGTGCAGCCTCTTCGGGACAGGCCGTCATCATTCATAACCATGTAAGTACACTGCAAGACATATCATTTCTTTGTTCTTATTTAATGTATGCCTCTGATTATAATAGGGGAAAAGTTCACCTGGAGTGGGAAATTCACCTAAACATGTTTTCAAGCTTAAACTTGATGAATTAATTGTAACAAATGTAATATGATCATGAGCAAACGGTTATTTGTGCCAGGTATGAAACAGTGAAGTTTATTGGGGATAGGAGGATAAGAACAGTACTTATGTTCATTTGTGTTTGCAGCAGTCTTTGGTTTCTTTATGCGTGTTTACTTGTTAGATACTTTCTGCCAAATCAGTCAGGCAGTTGTTACCCTTCATCAATCCCTAAAGTAGTATTTAGGAAAGTGTGACAATGTCAGGAGGAGTAGGGTCATGTTTAGCGTAAGTATTTGTTGCTCTACCGTCATAGAAGTATTGTCAAAGTACTGAAAGTCCTGCAATAATACAAATACAGAAAGTATTATTGGACAAGTATATCAGTGTATAATAACTAAGCACTTTTTTTGAAAAACACACCACGTAGTATATTCTAAATGTGGTGACCTTTAAACAGCATTGAAATGTTGTAGATAATCCAGGTGGTACTGATTGGTCTTTTATAGTCACAAGGTGAATGTAAAGTAACATATAACTGCAGCTAATGGATTGAAAAGTACAATATTTTACTGAGAGACTAACTAAAGTAACAGAAGATTGAACAAAACTGCACTGTACTGAAGTAAATGTACTCAGTTACTTCCCACCACTGTTGTTAGTATAATTATGAGGTGAAAGTTATGGTCCGCTACCTCGGCCTTTGCCACCTCCACGTCCTGGTGCAGGTTGAGCATCTCCAGCAGGGCTCTGGTGCCGCCTTTCCGCACCCCAATAATAATCGCTCCGGGCAACCGCTGCTGGGTGGCATTGTGGGAGGTAGAGGACGAGGAAGATGAAGAGGAAGAGGAGGAGGAAGAGGAAGAGGAGGAGGAGGAGGAGGAGGAAGAGGAGGAGGAAGAGGAGGAGGAGCTGGAAACCCCGCTGCGTAATCCCCTTAAGCACACAGAGAGCTGAGTCTGCAGCAGGAGAAGCATCAGCAGCGCTAGGATCACTGTCCACAGCATGGTGCCACACACACACACACACACACACACACACACACACACACACACACACACACACACACACACACACACACACACACACACACACACACACACACACACACACACACACACACACACACACACACACACACACACACACACAGGGGGTTAAGTGCACACACTCATGAAGCTCCCGCACTTGTAGGGTCCGTCAGCAGGGGCCCCCAGGAGGAAGCTGTTCAATTGGACAACCTATGAGACAAGAAAAGAGAAAAGGTTAAATGCAACATTTTTCATTATTTTCTTCTTCTCTTAAAACAAGCCGTAAAATCATAAAAAAATAAATATTAACATTTTGGACATTTATATTTGACCTTAAACTTTGAACCATGTCACTTATTTTTGATGTCATTGGATCCTCGTTAGCTCTTGTCATTAGCAATGTTCGAAAGAAGAAAATCAGAGTTGGAATAAACTCACAAATCAATAAGCCACAATTGTCCAAATGACCACGGAGCTTAAATAGATTCAGATATACTTAAAAACAAAGATTTCCTCATGAAGGCACGCAGACATGACAATCTCCATATCATGGTGTGAAGAAATGTCTTAAGAATAATTATATTAATGAATTATTTTCAAGAATTTCAACCGTAGAAACAAAAACTTTAAGTTATCAAATAAAGCAAATGAAGTCCAAACAGATGAGCACAAGACAAGATGCTTGTGTTTGGAAATGTTCCATCAAATTAAACTACACTAACAGATCTCATGAGGATGCACACACAGGTGTGAAAAACAGGTGCCTCCTGATCAAATACAAACAAAACCTTCTTCATGAGAAAAATACAAATGTGAAATGTTTCCCTTGAGGAGGGAAACACCGCCGGCATCACTCACAGATTTTAAGGGTGTGTCGTCCCAGACGGTTTCTTTCATCTCTCATACACGCTCACAATATATCTCCATGCATGCTCAACAGTTTCATAATCCCACATGTCTGAGACGACTCTACGATTCTACAAAGACCCAGCCGAAGGAATGATGGCTTCAGCCCAGAATATAGGGCTGTGATGTGATTATGGCCAGAAGATATTAAAATATGAATCTACATCTAAAGCACCCAGAGAGGGGATGCATTGAACATTAATGCTGTTATGAGGTTTAGCACCAACACCCCTCTGAGTTCTGCTGAAGCATTTTAGAGTATAGAAGAAAGTTGCAGTGAATGTCTGAATGCTGTGTCTTGGGTTTACTCTGTATTTTTTGGGGTTTCAACATTTTTCTTCAGTGTCAAAAAAACACATTTCACAGATGCAATAAACTAATCCTTTATTTAGCACTGTTTGGTTGCAGCTGAGCATCAAATGTCATCAGCTCCAACACATAACAAGGCCAAGAATTATGTTTATTCACAGCTTCTTCTTATACAATACTTTGCCCTTGAGCAAGGCAACCAGACCTCTGTGTGCCTCAACAGCACGGATCAGCTGCTTAGCCACAGAGCAGAGCTTTTCTTCACAGAGTGTTTTAAAGAATATCGCTGTGAAGAAAATAGCTTTTTTAGGATGTTTTGTGAAAAGCATTATATACATAATAATTGTTCAAATCCATACAAAAACCAAAGATACATTTAGAAGTTGTGGTTTCAAGTGGAGTTCATGTCATCTTGTGACGGGTGATTGCCTATGGTCTTATTTTCCCCCAATCGTTCACACAGGTTTAGACAAAAAAAGATTATAGTTTGGGTTTAAACAAGTACATTTTTGACAACCTGTGAATGAGACCAAGCTGGTTCCCAAACAATTCATTCCACATTAAGACCATGAAAATGAAGTTCCCGAGCTCTGGGTTAGCTAAATAATACATGTTTTATGGCAACACATAATTGGAAGTTAGCATGGGGCCCTGGAAAATTACTCAAATGTATCTTTATGTGTCAGAATTTTGAATTTGGGAACATAGGCACTTGGGAACACACATCAGAGTGTGAATATAATGAGAGCATTTTGTGTTTATTTTGTAGTCTTTGTCCGTCACACGTGCTAGCTTACTTTAGTTTTTCTTGTCTCTGTAGTGGGACCATTTTTGGGTAAGTGAAAATATTCATTCAAATATCTTAAATATTGTAATTTATGCTTATGCACAAACTTTCACTTCTTTTTTGGTTGTTATTTATGGACTCATCAAACACAGGCTCCAACTGCAGGTGTCTCTAATCACACTAACGAGTCTGTTGGTGTCTTCATTCACAGCTGTGCTTTTTCCTCTCAAGATGTTCTCTGTCCCAAAGGTTTAGGTGGTGGAACTGTGATAAGAGCTGGAGAGTGAATTAGGAAAAGGTACGAGTTTGACTTTATCCTACTTTTTATGTCATCCTTCATTGGGGACAAAACTGTTGATGGAATACTGGGAAATCCTGGCAGACAAAATCCCAAAGTGACTGAAAAGATGTGCAGAAACCACTGAGTTTGGTAGTTAGTTGCCATACATCTAAAACCGTAAATAGTTTGTTCATATCGCTTCTTAAAAAACGGCAATATCGCTGCATTGCATTCTGGGTGATTTTTCTCCTGCATGATGTAGAAAGATTCTTTTGTACAGTTTTTTTTAAAGGATTGAAAGAAAAACATGTTCTTGTGATATTTGTGAGAGCTCTGAAAGTGTTGTATTTTTTCAATGCTGGGTAGATAAAAACAAATAAGCCATACAAGTGCTCCTTAAATCTTGGAAGATGTCATTTACCAAGGAACTTTTTAACAATGTAAACCAATTATATTGTCTTTCTTTAACAGAATAGTCTGACGCAGTTGTTAGCACACAATAACCCTTCCCCTTGTTCTTGTGCCTTTCCTGTTATTGTTGTTATTGTGTTGAAACCGCCCTGATGAGACTGACTTATTAATTAGTGTGACAATGTTCTGGTTCAGAGGAGGAACCCTGTCTGGCGTTGTTCCCGTAGTGGAGTGCTAATTGCACCTTCAGGGAGCATCGCTGCACCCCCGACCTTCTGTGCCATCCCCTGGCTTGGCGACATTGTCGTCATCGATGTTGCAATCCTCTGCCATCCCTTGGTGAGTGTGGGGTTTGTTAGTGTTGGTGTTCTGGCCGTGGCACTACAGTGTTGCTGTCAGCAGGAAGCAGGGCAGGACTGGGACAATAAGTCAGGCCGGGAATTATACACCCAGCCAGGCCACTACCAGTTTTCTTTTGTGCCATTTTCCTGGATGTATTTGTCAATATTTATTGTCTATGATAGCCCTAAACTTTAAATCTACTACCCCCAGAATAAACATAAGGACATGCGTTACTATTTAAACAAATATTTGCAAATCTATTTAGGAACCTATCCGTGAACATGGAGTGGAGAGACTACACCCATATGAAACAGAACTGTATACATTTAAATAATCATAAAATCATAAGAGCATGGCCATAACCAATAACATACCATATCCAATATGAAAAAACATTGAAACTTGTTTATTTATTTGTTTTTGGTTCATGTATAGTTGTGAGTGTGTCTGGGCTCCTGAACCAGCCTCTCCTGTCTCCCCCCTCTCCTCCCTGCTCCTCTTTGAGGCAGAAGCAAAGACTAGTTTTCTCTCAACAAGTTTTTTAAGTTTATCTTACCTTTTTTCACCTAGTTAAAAACAATTTGTATTATTCATGCATATTTTACTTATCACTCCCCCTTCAAATGGAAATATGTGTTTACATAAATGGTGACCAAACCGTTTGAGACCCACAGAGAACTTAGACTAAGTTAACTATCTAAACACTCTAAAGTCCTTTACCTCACCTGAGCTGTAGTTATCTGTCTCTCAGTCTGACAGGAGAGGACTCTCCTCCACCTTGTTGACAGCTCATTATATCCATTAGCGCAGCTAGCTAGCACCAGATGCTAACAACAACAATACACGTAACCGGTGCGCGCGCTTTCTCTCTCGCTCGCTCGCGCCACACATACACACCCTCCCGAGCTTGAATGACACACAGAGACCAATCGAGGGCATTAGTGTATGATCTGTTTGAAAGTGGCCATGTCGGCAGGCCACATCATGTAGACAGCCAGTCACCCTCTGTGAGGCAGAGTCAGACCAACATTTGCGCAGCGTTATGTTCACAATACATACATAAAAAAAATAAAATCCTCAGGCCAGCAGCCCACTTAATAGGCAAGGCCATCGGGAAACCTCCCGGTCCTCCCGATGGCCAGTCCGGGCCTGGCAGGAAGGAGGATAAGATCTGACTCATTTAGAATTGAAGACCTAACACATCTTCTTGCCCTTCTTCAGCCTTATGTAGTTCACCATATTGATGTTATAAACATTGTTGAAATAAAATCAATTGATATGACACAGATTTTTACAGAGATAGATGAGAGCAGGGGTGGGGAACCTATTTCCTCTCAAGGGCCATTTCAATTTTTACAACATCCTCCGAGGGTCGTACTCGAACTGAACCTCTGCTTAAAAAGACTAAAATCACAGCCCATTCATTTCGCCTTTCTTTCATGCTGTGCAAAGAAAAAGCAACCTCTTAATCCAGATATGTTACCATGACTCGCGCATGCATGCATGCGCACTGTTACATTACATTACATTACATTACATTGCATTTAGCTGACGCTTTTGTCCAAAGCGACTTACAATAAGTACATTCGACCAGGAAGACACAACCTTGAAGAAAACAGAATCATATAAGTATATCAGGTTTCATAGAGCCAAACATTTCAAGTGCTACTCAACTGGCTTTAGGTAATCCAGTCCTTTATTGGTATAAAAGTGCTTCGTTAATCGTTCTAACGCTCGAAGTGGAGTCGAAAGAGATGAGTTTTCAGTTTGCGCCGGAAGATGTGCAAGCTATCTGCCGTCCTGATGTCAATGGGGAGCTCATTCCACCATCTTGGAGCCAGGATAGCACTGTTGTGGCATGAACACCAAAACAGAAAGATATGGACACAAGATGTGTGCAAATGTGTTAGTATCCTATCCATGTGAACATGATTTAAGTATGGGACGGACCTAATCTCCTCTAGGGGGGACCAGGGGCATGCTCCCCCGGGAAGACTTTTTTTAAATGTTGAAGTTAAAAGCATCAATCTGGTGTACTTTGAGAGCAAAATTAGGAGATCTATTGATACATCTCTCAACATCCATATGAAACAGAACTATAAGCAGATTTTCTCACATTTATTTATAAAGCACATTTAAAAACATTTAAAAACAACCCACATTGACCAAAGTGCT